TCTTACTGGTTGATGCGAGTTTAGTGCAAATGTATTTCGACGCCGATAAGAGAACTGAATGGATTTATCGTGGATCGACTAGATTGTATCCTTTGTTTCTCGAGGTACAGAAAGCTAATGCGAGGCAACAACTTCAACAGTTTGGCAATGCACATACTCGACATCGTATTCCTGCTTCGTCTAATGTAAGTGAATAAAAAATTTTGGAAATAGTAATTTTAACAGACTTGATTGATAATGTTAAAACATTTTTATAATAGTTTATATTCTTTGTTTACGACTTATAATTTCCGTAGAAAAATAATTTACCTTACGTTGAATATACGTCCAATGTGGAAGATGATGTTATACAACATTTGCAAGCAGAGAAAGCAACAGTTGCTACAAGTGTGACATCTACTACACCATCCACTGCACTGCAACAGCCGCGTGCAGTAGCTAAAAAAAGTACTACCAAAAGGCAAAATAATGTAGACACTGCAACATACAGTTCAACCGTGGAAACGAAACCGTCACATAGTATCGTTGTGAGTAAATTATATTAAGGAATATTGACGTAAGCATATCATTTCAATGAGGATGGGGGAGTGCAAACTTTAACTTTACACAAAACTCATATACATATATTAAAAATTATAGCAAAGCTAGCTTTGGAAGATCTGGCGAAAACTTTCTTACAAATAACGCATTAACTATAAATTCGACAGTAAGCGTTTTATTTTTTATTGTAAAAATTTTCATAATTGTTTCTCCTTGTCAAAATTTAAGAACGGGGGGGGGGGGGACAAGCGTCCCCTAAATTTTGTATAAACTTTTATACGCTTTTTACAATAAGTTATTATTTAATCTTTAAATCTTAAGTTATAAGAAATTGATCATTTATAGTCAATTATTCTTCTCACATGTTTGATCATGATTGATTAATATCTTATATATATAGAGAGCTTAGATAATGGCTTAGTGTAGAAAGCCTATTACACTTATTTTTATCATATTTTCAATAATTTTTAATTTTTTAAATAAATGATTTATGAAAAATACCTTAAATTTTTTTAACATCGTTTTTTTTTTTAAAAAAAAAGCATTGCGTGCAAAATTTTATAATACTTGAAAAATCACATATGTAAGAAATTTGAGAAAGATATAGACTTTCTTAGCATTTTTGAAGTGTTTTATTTTAATTGAAAAAATCTTAGAAAATTTTTTTAAGTTATATAATTATATAGAAATTCTGAAAAATGGTATGGTTAATTCTGAGACAAATTTTTATCAGAGAAAATTATACAATTGCATATATTAGCATATTATAATTAATCAACATAATATTGATTTTATATGCTGTCAATTTTTTTAGTTTTATCATACACAGAGGAAATATGAACCGAAAAAATATATTGCTCACAAATGTGGGCCAAAATGTATCAAGAGCATCAAAGTTTCACCTGATGATTTAAAAGCTCTTTCTCCACTCTCTATTCCGCTTTTGTGCGGCTGGCATCGTCAACTTTGTAAATTCTCCAAGGGCAAGAAAGTTATATTATATCAAACACCATGCGGCGTCAGATTACGAAATATGGAAGAGCTGCATCATTATCTCCAGGTTACTAATAGTACATTATCCGTCGATCTATTTGATTTTGATTATTGGGTGCGCGCTTTCGCCGATTTCGTTGTGGAAAAGTGCTCGATCAACATCAAGGTAAATTTTCAAAATTCAAATATTGTAAAAAAAAAACTTATTTAACAATATGTATAGATTGATGTGAAAAAAATACTAATTTATCATAGATACTAGAATATATTCACATATTGTATATTGTGTGATATATTAAAATTATATAGATATTAAAAATTATTATGATTTTGTATTTAAAAGGATCTCAGTTATGGCGTAGAAAATGTGCCAATACCATGTGTAAATGATTTGGATTACAATCAACCGGATACTATAATATATACTACACGTAGGGAGCCAACGGAAGGTGTTTATCTAAACCTAGATCCTGCGTTCTTATGTAGTTGCGATTGCGAAGATGATTGTCAGGTATAAAATCATACAACTGCCGCATAATAATACTGCCGTGAATTTATACTTTATTTTACTTTACTATGTTGTACACGTAGGATAAAGAGAAATGCCAATGCTGGCAGTTAACGATACAAGGAGCAACTTTGGGGGGAAAAATGCCAAATAGCGCTGTTGGTTATATTTATAAACGCTTGCCAGAACCGGTGACCACAGGAATTTACGAATGTAACTCGGGATGCAAGTGTTCTGTAAAAACGTGTCTCAACAGAGTGGTACAGCATCCGCTCAGATTAAAATTGCAAGTGTTTAAAACAGGGCCGCGTGGTTGGGGTATAAGGTGCCTCAACGATATTCCTCATGGCGCTTTTATCTGCATTTACGCAGGAAGATTACTTACCGAACAGGTACGGATAATAAAAATACCAATCTCAATTCTTATAGATTTATCTATCTATTCATTTATTATTTTTGCTTTATTATACAGGGCGCAAACGAAGGGGGTAAAAATTATGGTGACGAGTATCTGGCAGAGTTAGATTATGTGGAGGTGGTAGAAAGTTTCAAGGAAGGTTACGAAAGTGATGTTTTTGAACCGGAAATACCAACACCACCTACAGAAAATGACAATAAGAAAAAAAAAGCTACCGACGTAAGCGACGAGGAAGAGGATAATACAAAGGAAAGCACTAATGACTCAGACGAAGATTTCAATATTGATAACTATGTGGCTTCTTGCAATAATGATTTGTTAGAAACAACTGCAGAATCTTCGTCCATTAGGTAAGTACCCATTATGTTCTATACTATTAACTTACGAAACATACTTTATTTTATTTTAAAAATATATTTAGTGTGTGACACTATTATGTTTCATGATGTAAGTCTGTATAATTTTATTATTACTTTTTTTATTTCTTACACTATTGTTATTGCATGAAATATTTAAGAATTAATTTTTTTACAATTATAACAATTATCTATCATGTATAAATTTGTATAAACGGAAAAAATTATAAAAAGAGCTTTATGACTAGGAAACGTCTAAGGAAACGAAAAAGACATGAAATGGATAGTCAACCAGATGTATCTGAAGAAAACAGCGAGGATGAAAGCATTACGAGAAACTTAGAAAATGCAACAAAATCATCCACGAATGAAATTCAGGATACGATAAATATCAGTGATGACGATGATAGTAGAAATGATATAAGAAGAGAGCCAAGTAGATTTGAACCTAGTTTAGAACCAAATCAAATAGAGAGACCGACATCCAAATCTGTGAGAGAATATTTCGGTGAAGATGAAGCCGTTTACATTATGGATGCTAAAACAACTGGAAATATCGGCCGTTATCTAAATGTAGGTAACAAAAAATTATAAGGTTTTTTATTTTTTATCATTATTAAAAAAGAATAACCTTTGGATTCTTTAGAATGTTTTAAAATTTCACGAAATTATTTAACATCCTTAATTGTGTGACTTATTCCTTTCTTTCTTGTATAATATTTATGAATTAACATAAGTTATGTTTAATATAAATCATTCTTATATATCAAAATGTATTTTTCAGCACTCTTGTGATCCAAACGTATTTGTGCAAAATGTATTTGTCGATACACATGACGTGCGTTTTCCATGGGTGGCTTTCTTCGCGTTACAATACATAAAAGCTGGACAAGAGCTTACATGGAATTACAGTTACGACGTGGGAAGTATACCAGGCAAAGTGATCATTTGCAAATGTGGTGCAGCTAATTGTAGAGGCCGTCTTCTATGAACTGTGCATTTTATGGTAATACATTTTGTTCTTTGTATAAATAGAATTTGTTTTCTCTATCAAAGACAAATGATATTACAGGCATCATATTATTAGTCATCATTTATCTTTATCGGAAAAAGTTTATAATAGAAATGAACAAATACATAAAGACATGAAACGACGTACATTTGTCTTAAAACACTTCATACATTAAAATCTGTAGAAATTGATTTTTTATGAATTATATGTGTAGATGTGTTATATTGTAAGTTAGTAAAATTTCCCCTTTAAGTAGATATTTAAATGTAATTTTATATGAAAAAAGTATATTTCTGTTTTTCTTTCTCTATCTCCTTTTTGAAATATGACACCTGGTTTACGATTGGTTACAGAAAATAAAAACAGTATTCATAACAATGATGTATTGTAATTGCTTATTATTTTTGATTGTACATTCTTAGCATCCATTAGACATGTTACACGTTGTTAGCATTGCAAACGTACTATTTATCGCAATTTATACATACATCGTTCAAAATTCAACTCAGTACACAGATATTTTCAAAGGGAGATTGTAGTACTTAAGAGCACAAGGGACCCATCGTTGTCATAAAAGTATCAAATTTAAAATGGAATAATATGATTTATGACATAAAAATGTATAAAAAAGTTTTCAGGATTTATAAATTAATAACAAACAATATGTATCGTATATATACAAGGTGTCCGGAATTTAAATGTCAAAATTTTGAGTGTGTAAGGAATCGATAAACTAAGAAAAATGTCCTGTAGAAATATACTCGCTTTTGTTTCGTTCTTGGACGTGAAGGACTAGTAGCTTGGCCATCCTGATTACCTGATCTGACATCATTGGACTTCTTTGTACGGAATTCTTCTAAAGCAGGAAGTTTACTTATTGTCAATCAACTCAAAAGAACAATTGAGAAATTGAAGCTACAGTGCACTAAATATCACCAGATCAGTGTTTGGCTGCAACATGAGCTGTCCATACTGATGATATGTTTACATTCCTGCAAAAGGCTAACATTCTAAACAATACTTACATTAAGCAAATGAATAAATACAATATAAATAAGTAATTATATTTATAAATAAGTAATAAAAAAGTACGGAAACTGCGTTTTTTTTTTTTGCGATTTTCTCCAAAACGAAACAAAAACGAGCATATCTCTACAAGACTTTTTATTAAGTGTCGATTCTCTCTACACGTTCCCGAAGTTTTGACATTTAAATTCTGGACATCCTGTAGAATAGATCAAAATATATTATATATCAAAATTACATTTGTGTGTGTGTGTGTGTCATGTGCTCACACGGGAAGGTCTCGTTAGCACACAGTGTGATAACACACATGCACTCATATCGGCCGGTTCATTTTTTTTATCGCTTTATCAATGAGAATATTTTATTTTAAATTGAATTAGCGATGTGTGCTATCGGAACCCTTCTGTGCACACGATTGTAAATTTAATGTGATTCTTTAGTAAAGTACCGAAAATTTGGGGTGTCTTATCAGGGCCTCAAATATCTGCATAATTTGAATAAAATATTAAAATTACGTATATATATTAATGAAATAGTATGAAACACACGATAGTGCAAAAGTGATGAAATAAATTAGAGAAAAAGAGACAAATTATTCCAATTTACAATGAAATCAAGAACTGCATCTTCAGAAAATGAAAATAAGATGAGTATTGTATTACTTGATATTTTGCCACTTCAACATTAAGTATCTTTTCAAAATGACCATTAATCTTTTAATTTTTTGTGATCAATTGACCGTTACAATTTTAATTTTTTGAATTATTATATTAGGGATTCCCAAGTTTTTGTAAATCGCGACCTACTTTTTAGAATAGAGCAAATTTCACCTAGCTTTAGTGAATAAGGAGAAACAGGAGAGGATCGATTATTATTTATAACAATACGTATAATAACTAATAATTTAATAATTAATAATTTAATAAATTTAAAGACAATACAACACGTTTTAACTTACAGAGTCTTCCTCAGTACAGAATAATTATAAATTATTGAAACATCTCATTTTGCTCGATTATTGGTCGTTTAAATTAAGATATTGCGTTTTACTTAATATACTTTATATTTTATTGCTTTTCTTTTAAAAATTTTATGTATTAAATATACTTTTATTAAACTATTTTTCAGATGAATGTATGTATGCACTTGTTTTTTTATATTTGTTGATAACAGACTTAATGTTGATATTGATACGAATTATTTTCAAGTGCAAGGAGTTTGATAATTTTAACTTATTTCGCAATTTAATTTTAATTCCTACCGTTACAGAAAAGCCAATTTCATATATGTACACGTACTTTTCGCGCGTGCGTAAGTTTGAAAACGCGTAGTAATGAAACGTAATTTAACATTAACAAATTTTTCGTGATCAAAAATCGATTTGAGACCCACAGTGGGTCGCGACCCACATTTTGGAAACCCCTATATTATATTATCTTGTTTTAAAAAAAAAATCTATAGTATTATTTGAGTGCAGTTACTCAAAAAAACGTTTCTAATCCTTATCTGTCACTAATGGAGAATTCGGTACACATGCACTGACTCTGCTCTGGTGCTGCCCGGACATGGTACGAGTGCAGAACCACTTTGGTACTATGCCAAACTGCACTGTCAGAAACGTCAGTGTAACATTTCTTGAACTCGTTCAGTTCATTCAGTTGATTCGAATATAAATTCAGCACTACACTGGGTCAGTTTTTATTTGCCGAATAAGATAATCTGAATGCACTGATACAGTGCGCACAAGCCGAATTCGCTACATGTTACACGTTAAAAGTTACATCAGCAAAAACCAAGTTACATGTAATGTACATGTTAGCTGTAATTTTCCATTCAACAATATAACTGTTAAATAACACAACCTACTTTAGAATTTTGCACACGTCAAGTTCTCGGTACTTCAACTTCATTATATAAAGAAATTAGACATTTCTATGGTAACTTGATTTACTAAAGAACCACCTTAAATCAAATTAACTTTTGTAACTTGTTTCAGCTACAAAAGAGTGAATAATATCTAATTACAATAAATCTGTAACTTATATGTATATTTAGAACCATGAAGAATTATTGCGAGAAGGATATGAGCTTTTCATTATACAATCTCGACATGCAGTATATTATTATTATTATTATTATTATAAAACAGCATCCACGTACCTATCTTTATTTAATTTAGAGTGCTTAAATACGAGATATTCTAGCCATCATAGACAAAAAAATCAAAACAAAGCTGATAGAATAGTCTCTCTCTATAAGGAGGAACATTAACATACCAAAGTAACAAAATTATAATACCGCATTTTGTTTGGCTTTATGCTAGTGGAGTTTCAGAAGCTGTTTAATCTCATCTTTCTCGGCTGCATCCAGATAGCTTGTGCCGTCTGGCGTTAAACCGTCTGGTTTAGCACCTTTTTCCAACAGCAGTTTTACACAATTCGTGTGGCCTTCCCATATCGCTGCCAACAACGTTGTGATCCCATGCTTGTCTGTAGCCTACGAAATATACGTACTTACTGCATTTAATAGTATAAATGGGATGTTCTAAAACAAAACACTTCGGAATATGTTAAAAACTAAATCTTGTTGGGCAAAAATGTTTCATGGCCTTTCTACAATAAGCCATTACCTAAGCTTTAAATCTTAAGAGAAAGCCGTAAGAAATTAACTAGTCAATTATTCTTCTCACATTCATGATTGGTCAATTTTTGATGGCTTAATACTTAGATAATGTCTTATTATAGAAAGTTCATCAGACAAAAATTATATAATTTAAAGGGGGTCAAATAAATGATAAAATAAATTTTCAAAAAAGTCGATTTTTCAAAATCACATAGAGGTCATCTTTATTTATTTATTTATTTTTAAATAAATAGAATAATTTTTTTCCCATATGATTTATCTACTTATCCTACACATCAAAGTATCAAGGTAAGTATTAAAGTAAGTTGGTATGGGTGATACGCATATCGCTAAAAATTGTTTGAGAATCGCCCTTTTGTTGAAAAAAAAGGAACGATTTTTTTTTTAACAAAAATTTTTTTTTACAAAAAGATCGATTTAAAGATAACTTCAAAGATGATTTCCAACTTCTATTTGATAAAAAATTCTTTAAATTATCAATATATATTATATCGATACGTGTACCGCCCATTCCTATATTAAGTAGAGATACCGAAAAATAATATATGTAATTTTCAAACTATTTTATATGATATCCTGGCATATATTGGTATAAAAAGTTAAATATGTCATAAACTATTAAATTTTGGATCTAATATTATTCCATTTAAAAAAGTGGAGGTTATCTAAATAAAATGATTATAGTTTGATAGATGATCTCCATGGGACTTTTAAATGTCAATTTTTTGAAAATTGATTTTATCATTATTTGTTGCCCTTCAAATCATACAACTTCTGTATGAAACATTTTTGTCCGCTGGGTTCAATTTTTTACATATTCTGGTGTTTTGTTTTAGATCCAGTGTATATCTTGAATTGCACAGTTGAGCAAGAAAGAAATTATTATCAAAGATAGAAAATGATTTTATACAACACAATTACATAATGTGCTACTATTTAACTATAATATAACATTATTTATTATATACTTTTGCTTTTTTAAGTATTATAATTAATGGCTAATTATTAAATCCTTGGTTATTACTTACATTGGCATTTGCTCCTTTCTCTAATAAATATCTGACAACTTCACTTTGACCATAATCTGCTGCATAATGTAGCGGTGTTCTTCCATCGATCATTTGATTTACATCAATGTTCTAAAAATAATAACAATTAGATAGTGAAGTAAACCAAAATAAATTAATAGTTAAATAATGGATCAGTTTTTTATTGTGACTGAACTAATGTACACTTTTGGAACTTAAAGCGAGATAACTATATGTTTGATACTTGTTGAAAGCAAGAAAGAGAGTTCTAATGCAGTCTAGTGAAGGAATAGAAATAGACCAAATAACTATAATATACACAGATAATAAAATGCTATAGTAAAAAATACTGTTTTTGTTATAAGAATATTCAAATAGTAAAACTAATAGTGTTTTTCACTGAAAAAACTAATGCAATACTAGTGTGTAATGAGAGCAACTGAATGCAAATTAATTCATATATTTTCAGTGTTAACAAATAATTTAACTCTTAATTAATTGTATATTATTTGTTATGATAATGTCATAACTTTAAAAAAATGAAATTATTTATTAATACTGAAAATATCTGAATTCATTTGCACTTAAAGGGTGCTCAAAGATAATTAATCTTTAACCTTTTGATATCTTTGAAGATAATACTCATGAAAAAAAAGTCTTAAAAGCAATATTGAAAGATATGATCTATTTTTTTATTACTGCACTAAAATTTTTTTGCTTTCACCAAATATTAAATATCTATCTCACTTTAAGTTCTAAAAGTATATATTAGTTCAGTTACAAAAAACAGATCTCTAAACTATGTAATAACTTCATAAATACCATAAAAAAATTGGATTAAAAAAAATATTATATAAAGCTGTTGCATTGCAGTACTAATAAGAATTTTTAATATATTTAACAGGGTCTTTATATTGCAGGACCCAAGATATCTTCTTGGAATGTTTTATACAGTTATATCTATTTCAATTTTTAAATTGCTCGTTCCAGATTGCATTCACAAGAAACAAGATACTCAAGGCGAGAAATATTTAAACAAAATAAAAAAAATAGAACTTGTCGATGATAGATATTGGTGAAACTTACGAACATGACACAATCAATTAGGTACAAATGAATACTTCCAGTATCAAAACACACATTTATTTACCAATTATTTAATAAAAACTTATATGGTCATTGAACATTTTATATACCTACTTAACAATCTAGAAAGACGGCATATGTTGTGCATATCAATCGTACAGTCGAAATATGCATGCGTTTCTCAAAACATCTCTAAGAATCAAATCTTGTTTTATTTACCTTGTTCTCGACGATGTCTCGTACTTGTTCGAGATCGCCGTTCTTTATGCCCCAAACGAGCTCGCTCATTTTCGTCGACGCTGTCGTTCCTGTGGATTTACACGAACGGATGTATCCACACCGCACGCATACACGCACACATATACACACAGCGTATTAAGTCTACGTTTTCTTATCCGTTCCGTACCACAATCATTCGAAGTTTAACGAAATTTAATAAAACTTCGGAATCCGATTACTATCGACAGTAAATTCAGACTGATAAATCTCGTCATATACAATACAGGGTATAATCAGAGAGAGCCTGACAGCGGCCATGCCCGGGATTTAGCTACAACTTTATTTTGAAGCGCCTCTATGTCCACAAAACGTGAACATTGAACTATGTAGCCAATGTCAACGATAGTGTCGGTAATGTCCAAGATTTTTGGTTCGAATCTTCCCTATATCTATGATTTTTTTGGTTCGAATCTTCCCTATGTTCATGCGTCAGAGATTATAAAACCTCTTTGTTATCGGTCCATTAGAAAGACAAAGACAAACGATTGATCGAAATAAAAATGGCTAAATCGACTAATTATTTAATAAAAAACATTGAACTATGTAGCCAATGTCAACGATAGTGTCGGTAATGTCCAAGATTTTTGGTTCGAATCTTCCCTATATCTATGATTTTTTTGGTTCGAATCTTCCCTATGTTCATGCGTCAGAGATTATAAAACCTCTTTGTTATCGGTCCATTAGAAAGACAAAGACAAACGATTGATCGAAATAAAAATGGCTAAATCGACTAATTATTTAATAAATCCTTAAGTTTAAATATAAAATATTTGGTAAATTTTTAATGATATATGTAAGTAG